AAAAAATAATAAACACACACACACACCCCAAATGATTATTCGATTCTTACTGCTGTGCAACTGAGTTTGGTGATTCAACTTAATGAGAATATCTCTCCTTTGAAAACTGAGTGACTGTGAAGTTCACCAGCAAGTGGCTGGACAAACACATTTCAGCCCTGTCCCATCACCTCCAAGTCTTCATCAGAATGTCGCTCTTGATGGGGGGAAAAGCCAGCGCCTTCTGAATCACACGCATGAAAGCAACTGTATCAAAGTAGTTTCCCCTTGTTCGGCACTTCCCTCTGCTCACACCCCCAAAGTCTCGTTTTCTTCCAACCTACTTTTATCAGGCACTACTTGGGCTAGCAGTGAAGAAAACCGACCCCATTCCTTTCTCTAGAGCTTCTCCTCTAAGGGAAGTGGAGGGGCAACAGACAATGGCCATGCAACAGTCAAGACACTCTGGAGTGGCATGAAGTGCCATGAAGAAGAAGCTGGCAGGGCGAAGTGACAGAGCTGGGGACAAGGGGACAGCTTTTCAATGGGGTTGTCCAGGGGAAGGCTCATAGCAGGGGACATTTCAGAGAAGCATCTGTTCCCCTGCTCTCCTCTCCGGGCTCATTCCATCGCCTCGGCCCTCTTCTCCCATGCTCAAGTGGACTTCTCCGCAGGAGCAGGACATGTGGAGGGCACCGATCTCTTGTGGGTCAGGAAGGAGGCAGGTCAGGGCCACCTGGCCTGGCAGAGCCCAAGAGACTCCAAGAGCCTGAGTCTCTAATCCTGGTACAGAATCAGCAGTTCCCTCTGTCTCCATCTCCATCTTGGACACAGAAAAAGACCAACGGCAGCCTACTCGTTCCTCCCTGCCCCCCACACGAGTCCAGAGAGGGAGAGCCAAAGAAGCCTTGGGTGGCCACAGCAGAGAGGCCCTGTAAATGACCGCTAGGAACAAAATGTGCTTGGGACATCCAGCTAAAGTGATGTGGATATGAGCAATACCGTCTCCCCTTGATTCCTGGCAAGGGGAGCCCCAGAGATCTTCAGCAAGAGATGAATTATGGTCTGAAAAGCATAGACACTTCACCCGGGCTCTGTCTCAAGGCACCCTGGGCCCCTCCGGCCAAGTCACACTGTAAGATCTCACTGGAAAAACCACGTGGCATTAGCACGGACAGTTTCACTCACGCAGATCTGGTGTCAGGCTCCACCTCATTTCACCTTCACAACAACCCTCTGGCGGTGCTGCTCTTCTTTTCGCGCGTTGCAGATAAGGACAGTGAGCCTCAGAAAAGCTGAATGACCCGCACACTTCACTCATGGAGGAAGGGGGAGGCGGGGAGGCCGAGGGCTGGGAGAGCCGGTCCCCAGATTGTTAATGAAGAGACACCACACCCCTGTTCTGACACTGAGGTCACTCAGAGAGTGCAGCAGGGGCATCGGTTGGGTGAACGAGGTTAAGCTGCCCAAGAGGACACCCCCTAACCTTGAGCATTGGACACAGGGGCTCCACTCACTGTCTCTCCGGGCCCTAAGCTGGGGGCCGCCCACCTCATCGGAGCTCCCTACCATAGACACAGCAGCCAAGAGCATCTACTTGGGGACCAGGTCCTTAAAGCCTCCACTGTAAGCTCCATGCCCCGTCCAATCATGCATTTTTGAGCACGCATTCTGGCTTTTGAAAGCACAGGTCAGTGCTGCCCTGACTTCTAAGCCTGGGTGGTCCTGGACTATTTGGCGAAAGGCACAGAGAGAAGGCTGACTGCCCCAGCCCCGCCCCCCAGGCCATGGGAAGGAGCCCCAAATGCTCCGCCCTCTTCCGGGACCTCAGCCCACAGTGGTCAACAAAGCTCAGTTTGCTTGCAGTCAGTCGGCTCCCACCCCCACCCCAGTGATCTCGCTTTGGGGTTTATTTGCTGCAGAAAATGAAACATCAGAGAGATTCACCCTGTCTGGCCACGTCCTTAGTTTATAGGCAACTTTGCAAAGGCCAAGGCACTGGGCTTTTTCAGCTCTTGTGGAATCTTGCTGCATTTTGAGTTCATTCAACCTACTGCCTGATGTGGCAAGATTTCAGGTCATCCTGGAAGCTGGAACGAACCACCCCCCCTTCCTATTGGGCACAAATATGGAAGATTTTGAAAGCGTGGCTGGGACCAGATTTAATTTTAAAAGGAGAAGGGAGGTTGCTTTTGAACTTCAAGAAGACTGGAAGCACAGCAGGGCCGCATTAGCAAAGGGAAAAAGTAAAAAGCCCTGTGGTCTTGCAAAAAATCCTGCTCCAAAGCAGAACAGCTTCCAGTTGGTGAGCCTTAAATCAGACTTCAAAAGCACCACTAGTTTAAATATTGTTTATAGGACTGAAGTATTGCTCCTTCTTCCTCTGGCTGAATTTTAAATATTCCCTAATTTGATTACTCCAGAGAGAGGCAGGCAGAGCCAACATTAAATGAGCTTCACTTGTTAATTATTCAGAGGACTTTTTATTGTGTAATCAAACATAAAGTCTTACAAAAAGCTTGGAGACACATTCTCACCCGGCCCTTCCCAGCCACTTTGGCGTCTTGATTGTTGTGGCCGTGAGGTGGCAGGTGCCCGGCAAGGTCCTGCCAGAGAAGAATAACCCCCTTCCCATTTAGTTGGTAAAAAGCTTTTGAGGGCCCTCCCTGGTGGTGCAAAGGATCAGGGCACAACACTACAAGCTGGCCTCAGCTGCTTCAGTACAAGTTCAATCCCCAGTGCCGGAACTGACCCACATGGCGTGGCAGACCTCTCCTGACCTGCCCGCTGCTCCCCTCAGCAATGTACTTCGTTGATCTGCCTGTTCTGCTCCCCTCTCTGCCTCTGGTGAAGCCTCTCACTGCCCCTGCACCTCTGGCCTGCACCCCAGTTCTGTATGCATAAATAAATCTTTAAAAGAAAGGACCCAATGGGCCCTCCCTGATGGCGCAGCGGGTTAAAGCACAGCACTGAGAATCTAAAGCCACTTCCGCATGAGTTCGATTCCCGCCTGCCCCAGAGGTGACCACATGGTGTGGCAGACCTCTCCTGACCCGCCCGTTGCTCCTCCCCTCAGCAGTGTACTTTGTTGATCTGCCTGTTCTGTTCCCCGCTCTGTCTCTGGTGACGCCTCTCACCGCCCCTGAGTCTCTGGCCTGTACCCCAGTTCTGTATGCACAAATAAATAAATCTTTAAAAAAAAGAAAGGACCCAAAAAACACTTTTTTTTCAGCTAAAATCCAGATATATTTTTTTTTCCAAAAAATACTTTTGATTCTGCTTCTTAGAGATTTATATATTACATATTATATATCATTTAATATATTTTTGGTTGTCTTTCTTTCCTCCAACATCTGAGCAGAATCTGCCCCCAGCACCAACACTCATCAGCCCGGATAAGTCCAGACTCCTGCCGGGGCTTCCCTTGACAGCAAACTGGTGTGACCCCCAAGTCCCTGCTCTACGCTAGATGGCTGTCAGCCAAATCATTCAAATAACCCAGCTACCTAAAATCTTCTCTGCAGAGAAAATGGGGGTAAAGAAGGAGATGAGTGAATGGATGGGTGGGTAGGTGGGTGGATGGAGAGAGATCAGTAAACAGGCAGAAATGTGAGCGCGCACATACTTGTTTCTCCACAGAGATCCACCACTCCAGAGCTGTAAGTCCCAAATCTAAAAGACTCAGAAAACTCAGTTTTCCATAACACATTTGGCAGCAATATCTGACATGGCCAAACTGATTTGGAGGCAAAATTTGCCTTGAAGATATTTATAGTCTTTACTTACCCCACCTCATGCAAATTATCAGACATCATTACAGAAATAGTGATGTGTCTGATTACGGTATGCTGTTCCAGGCCCCACTGGAGGGGTGACAGTAAGAGGTGGTCTATGCAGCACAGTTCCTTTACAAAATGCCAAAATTTTTAATTTTTCAACACATCTGGTTCCATGGGTTTCAGAGAAGGGATTATGGGCATGTCACTAACAGAGCCTGCTGGAACCTCAGTCTCTTATTCAGAAAGGTCTCAGTCCCTGAGGGGAAGATTCAGGTTTGGTGGATCCAGAAGTTTACTTAATTGGGTGGGAGGGATGATATTTAAGAAAAAAACACAATGCTCAAATACAAAATCAGGTGCAGGGCCCTGGGCGGAACCCAGGCAAGAGAGGGCCGTTCGAGTCACTGCAAACCAGCACCTAGGAAAGTGACTTACGCTCCCTCCCACCTGTAAATTTTCTCACCTGTAAATTTTCTTGTTATAAAATGGAATGATAATATATATCTCATGTAATGATCAGATTTAACATGTTATATGTGCATTATATATCACTTAATATGTAAGGTGTCATATTATGTATTTGTACATTATATCAACTTATTATAGATCAATATGATAGGATATTAATATATGCTACATGTCCATATAGTATACGGCATACATTATATATAATATGACATGTACGTGATATATAATAATGTTGAATACATCACAGGGTTTTATTGAGATGATTCGGTGAGAATCGCAAAGAGCCTCACAGAGAAATTTGGTTCAGTAAATTCCAAACCAGTGATCTGCACGGTGTCACTCACCCCACAAGCTCCCCCAGCCCCTCCCCGAACCCCCGGTCGTTAATGACAGGTGTTCCAGGGATGGTGGGACCCTGTTCAGGTTCAGAAATGAACCTGTGTCTCGATCCAGCCCAGGAGTAAGCGTGAACTTGCCCTGGAACTACGACCAGACCGAGCCCAAGATGCAAACAGGTGTAGCTGCTCACACATACACCCCCACCCTCCACTCCTCCCAGCAAGCGGGGGTCTCTTCTAACCTCAGTTCCCACCTGCCAGACCCCACTGTGAGGAAGTGTCCCCCTACTTCCTCAGCAGTGCAGGAAGGGGGAAGAAAATTCCTAACAGGGACCCGCCACCCTCCACAGTACATTTATTTATTGCCTGTCCTATAAGCCCCTTAATAAGCCGAGGCTCTGAGAACGAAAAACCCATTCATCTGCTTCTCACTCAGGGACCCGGGTGGAAGCAAGAACACAATTAAAAAAATCAATAAGGACAAGTCCATGGGCCAGCGATGGGAGCATTTCCTCACGGCGCCAAAGGTGAGCACAGCCAGCCCCTGGTGACAGCCCAGCCCCTGGCCGGCCCAGCGGTGTCGGATGCTGGGGTTTGGTTGGGGCCAGCCTCTTCTCTGCGGGACTTTTCTCCCTAGCGGGGCCTCTAAGTAAGAGAAGTCAAAACCGCACTGTGGGACGGTTTTTGTAAATTTTAATTAAAATGGTTACCTGGGGCTTACAGGAGAAATGACATTCAGCCGGGTGTGGCTGGTGGCGAAGGGGTGGGCTGGCTGAGGAGCTGCTTCAGAAGATGCCCCAGAAGGAAATGGCCTCCCTTCTCCCCATCTCTTAAATCAGTAGCAAGCGTGACTGTCTCTGTCAAGTCAGTCAGAAAATAAGTGAGCGATTAAACAGACAGGTTTTTCTAAAACCAGAACATGTGTGTATGATGACAAGGACATCAAGAAGTCTATTCTTTTCACCCAGAATTATTTCTCACCCCAAACGCCCCAAATTCGTCTACGGAATGAGCAACACAATCATGATTATAATAGTAACGGCCAGTGTGACAGTGACATTCGTAGGGAGACCACATGACTAGTGTGTTCTCTGGCCCTGTGCCCCTGTCCACAAACGGGCACAGTGCTGGTGCCTGCCGACCCCACGACATTAGGAAAGGACGCCAGGAAACAATGTACAAGGTCACTTTGAAAATGTTTAAATGTTCAACACTGCTGCAGCCGTATCAACTCTCAGTCACTTTTTAACACAATTGCTGTGGGCCAAGTCTTGTGCTTGTAACCGTTATTCCTACTGTTGCTGCTGCTGTTGTTATTCTCAGGTAGGGAGAGCTAGCAGTTTGGACTCAGAGAGGTTAAGTGACTTGCCTGAGGTAACACAGCAACCTAGTGGGTAATGGCAGAGCTAGGAGCTCATCCAGGTCTGTTTATTCAGCACTGAGCTCCTCCGATGCAAGTATTCCGCGGCACCCCAATTACCATCGTATCTCAGGAAGAGTTGCACCATTGCTTGCTCTTCTGTCAAGGTCCTCCTAGATATGAGAAGTAAGAGCCTTTGTTTTCATCACAGAAAGTTGCACCTGCCTCCAGGGAACAGAAACAGCAGAAGCCACAAACCTTTAAAAAATGTCCTTCAGGAATATTCACAACTAAAGTTGGAGGAGGAGAGAATACACTGCTACACTTGAACTCTCATTTAAAAAAAAAAAAAAAACAAACAAAAAAAAACCTCTCTTTCCCTGAATTCCCCAGGGAAGTTTGTGGGTTGAATTCCAGCCTGCCGCAGACTAGGGGAGACCTAAGTTGGCCACTGTGATCCAGTTTACTGAGTCAGACGAGTCCTGTTCTCTCTCCTGAATGCACTTCCTCTGCCTGTAAAATGAAGACTTTGAAGGAGAGGTTCCAATCAGCGCCAGCAGCAACTGGTATGCCTCTCTCCGTGTAAAGCTTGTCAGGACCAAAGCAAACGGCATACGTGACCATCAGACCAGGTGATGCAGGAGGGAGTGGTGAGGTCTGTGGCAAATAGAATGTATGCTCACGGAGCTACACACAGAAAAAATCCTCTATTCAGCTCTAGATTATGTTGCCAGATGAGAATGGGAGCCCTGGGCTTATTGTTTTCAAGAGAGACCAATAGTCTCAGTTTATATAAAAATTCTCCAGGCTGCAAACTTTGGGCCAGTTAGAAATATCTCCCCATCCACCACCAGTTTAAAAGTCCCTGCTTCTACGTAAGTATAAGGAATCATTCAGGAAAATCTTTTCACTGCCAAAAAGCAGCCTCTACTGAGGTGAAACACAGCAGCTGGTTAACACTGCTCTTGAGTGAAATATAAAAAATGAGAGAAGAAACACTGGGAATTTAAGTCATTTCAGAGAGTCAGTTCAATAAAGAACCAGCAAGATGCTGAAACTGCCTATCTCATCTCCACCCTCTCTCCCTGGCATTTTATTTTTCTGTCACTTTCAATTAGAAGTGTCAACCCTTCACTTTGGATTTCCTGGCTCAGGTTGTTAATTGAATTTTAATTAACGGTAACATTAGGAGCACAAGATGAAATCCTGGTGTGAGAAGACACACACAGAACTCTGGATGTGGAAACTGCTCTGATCAGCCGGGTCCATTCTCCCGGTTAGTGGATAAGGAAACCGCAGCAGGGCAACGTGACTTGTCCAGTCCCCTTACCCCCAGGTCTCCTGGCACTAAGTGCCAGGGACACAGCCTGTCCGGCCTTCAAAAACACCACTGATCTAAAAAGCCTGGTCTGCAGGGTCAGGAGTGTGATAAAACAGGAAGAGGTGACCCCCACAGGGATTAGCCCTGAGCCCTGAGCTCATCTTTCCCCAGGTGACAGAGTAGAGAGGCTTTTTTTTTTTTTTTTTTTTTTTTTTGGCTGAAAAACCCCTTGACCAGCTGCCAGGTCAGGACAAAGGTACATGACATCATACCAATTTCTCAAAGGCAAGAACATATCTACTTTGACATGTGTTTCTTTTTTTTTTTTTAGGATTTATTTATTTATGCATACAGAACTGGGGTACAAGCCAGAGATTCAGGGGAGGTGAGAGGACTCACCAGAGACAGAGTGGGGAGCAGAACAGGCAGATCGACGAAGTACACTGCTGAGGGGAGCAGCAGGCAGTTCAGGAGAGGTCTGCCGCGCCATGTGGTCACCTCCGGGGCTGGGGATCAAACACGCACTGCAGCAGCTGTGGCTGGCTTGCAGTGCTGAGCTTTTACCGGCTGCGCCACCAGGGAGGGTCCTTGATGTATGTTTCTTCTTCATCAGTCATTTTGTGACCCACACACTCATTTGGAGAGTTGGGTGACCAGTTCCACAGTCCGTCCTATTCTGAAGAGCTCCTTGGTATAGACCTTCACTGAAGGCTCTGACGGGGAGGGGTGATCACAGGGAGAGACAGCATGGAATCGATCTCTTCCCAATTCCTCCTCATCCTGTACAATCAAGAATCCCTCACTTTTTCTAGGAAGGGAAGTTGCGCCACACTCAGGCTCCCAGGCAGAAACCAATCAAAAAGTTACTTGTGGGCTCTCTAAAGTGACTCCTGCTGGATACATTCTCTCCATCCTATTAGGTGTCTGTTTGATGTTGCTGGGAGCTGTCTCCTCTCCTCTCTCCCGAGGGTGTCAAATCGTGGTGCGCTTCACTGGGAGAGGAACTCAGTCTGCACCCCCCAAGCGCTTTCATTTTAAATGTTCTCAGATGAAATTGTTTTACTAACTGAGCACAAACGACAGCCCCAGTCCACACTAAGCTCTGACCCTGCAGAGCTGAGGCTCTACTTTTCCCCACTGTGAACCTGGTATTAACACGTCATAGAAAATCCTCAAGTTTGGGGTCAAGAGCATTTTCCATGCCACTGCGAAAGACTTTTAAAGCACTTTTTTAAAGATTTCTTTATTTGTGCATACAGAACTGGGGTACAGGCCAGAGGCTCAGGGACGGTGAGAGGCTTCACCAGAGACAGAGTGGGGAGCAGAACAGGCAGATCGACGAAGTACACTGCTGAGGGGAGCAGCGGGGGGTTCGGGTGGGTTTTGTTCGGCCTTTTGGTCTCCTCTGGGGCAGGCGGGAATCGAACTCATGCGGAAGTGGCTTTAGCTTTTCAGTGCTGTGCTTTAACCCACTGCGCCACCAGCGCGGGCCAGACTTTTTTTTTTTATTATTATTAAAAAGTTTATTTTTACATCATTTTGCACATTTTTTTTTTCATCTCAATTGTAATCCCCACGGGTTTCCCATCACCAAATCACCCCTGTGCCACCACCATAGTCCCGTGCATTTCCCTCCCTTCCCCTCCCCCCCACGTTTTTGATCCCATTCCCCACTCGCAGGCCAGACTTTTAAAGCATTTTTAAGCAAAGCATAATAATTAGCTTTGGAATCTGCCTGGGCTGGAATCCTGACTCTGTCACTTCCTGGATGTGTGATCTTGGGCTAGTCAGGAAGTTTCTCTGGGACTCTGAGATGAATTTAATGAGGATGCGAGCCCCCCACCGTGTTCTGCAGTGACATCCATCAAGCCAGCAGGTGCACATGTGCACACACACACCGGCGCACACGCAGCATGCACACCACCGCTCCCCTCTGGCTCCTTCCCTGCCCCGAGTCACACTTCCCTGCAGGACTCGTCCTGCCCGCCCTCCACAGCCCCCAGGACTTGCCTCTACTCCTTTCTGCCCACAACACGGTGCCCCCCCTCCCAGCAAGACTGCCACCCCACTGGACGAACCTGCCTCCTCACTCTACCTCCCACGTGTCAGGCTAGAGCTTTCTCCATCTTGCAGTAGTTAGAAAACCCCCATGAATACAAATTTTCATCCCTTAAGGCCCAGGCTTCAATTTGGTGAACAAGAAGTAGATCCAGGCAATCTGGGGTCAAAACCAAAATGCAGCTCAGGAAATTAGACTCATTCTCTTCCACAGTTTAAAAATCAACCCTCTGATGAGCACACTGAGACAAAACTGGCATCACTGACGAGACAAAACTGGCATCACTGGAACAGGTCTTTAGCTTCCCGGGGTGACGTCCCCAGGCAATCATGGTACTCACAGAATAGAACGAGCCCCCACCTCGAATCGAATCATGTTTCAAATAATACATGACTTGAAATCACCTCAACAGATGACAGAAGGTCACTTCAGCCCCAAGATTTGTCTCATGGTGTTTGGAAAGATCCAGAAGGAATTCTCATTCAGAGACATGTTTTGTTTTGCTTTGTTTTGTTTTTCTGTCTTTCCTTCCTCCCTCTCTTCTTTCTTCCCTATTTCTCCTCATCTTCTCTCCCTCCCTCGGCCCCTTCCTTCCTTTCTCTCTCTCCCTCTGACTCCTTCCTTCCTCCCATCTTTCTGTCCTTTCCTCCTCCTTTCTGAAATCTCTCTCCTCCCTTCCCCTCAGACCAAGAAATTCAAAATTCCCATGCCACGAGCCACCAGCCGCAAACTCAGCCGGAGAGGGTCAACGCTCAGTCTGTCTCGGACCAGTGGGGGATCATCCCCCCAGAGCAGCATGATCTCTGTGAACCCCGGTTCAGACGAGCCTCAGAGTGTGATCACCCAGGTGACGGTGGGCAACAGGGACATCGAGGACAATGAATCATCTTCGACCAAGCCAGATGAAGAGCCGCTCCACATCAGTAAGTTCTACCTAAAGTCTAACCACCTGCCTTGACTATTTCCCCCAAGCCAGGAATATCAAGGACTCCTGCTCCTGCTTTGTCCCCACTCAGTGGGAGGAGAGACACGGGACCCCTACACCTATTCAGTTTTCTTGGATTCCTTTGCTTTCCCCAGTGGAGATCAGAAATACACTCTCTAACTCAGATTCCTCAGAGTCATTTCTCCTTGCAAAATAGCCCACAGTCATCCACTGCTTTTCTCTCTATTTTACTATGTAACACATCACTTTATTTCAATAATCTTTTTACTTGGCTCCAGCTTATACAAAAATTATCCTTTCAATATGTAGTTTATGCAAAAAATTAATGAGATATTTTATATGTTTTCATTTGATTTGATGTCTACTGTTTGGTGCTGACACGGAAGCCTACTAAAGGTATAATTTGCATATAAAATTCATTCATTTTAAGCGTTCAACTCGATGATTTTTAGTAGATTTACAGAGTTACACAGCCATCACCATGCTCTGATTTTAGACCATTTCCACCAACCCCAAAGAAATCCTTGGACCAGTGACAGGTCTTTTCTTTTTCCACCTCCAGCACCAGGCAGCCATAAGTTTGCTTTCTGTGTCTAAGGATGTGCTTTTCCGGAACTGTTTATATATGGACATTGTATCACTCTGACCCTCCCTCTGGAGCAACCTTTTCAGTACCTCACAATCTGGGAGGACACAGGTTCTTTAGAAAATCTTCTGAAAGCTATAGGCCCTCTCTCCGGGGGGGGGGGGGGGAATCCAAACACACCTAATCAAATTTTGTATATTCTTTTAGGGGAAGCCTTGTGGACTCCCACCAGATGGGACTCTGACTGGATTTTATCAGTCCTATAAAAAAGTTCTTTCTGACATCTCCTTGGCTTCAGCTTAGACAGTAAAAGGAGATAGAAAAGAGGATTTATATGGAAAAATGGAGACATTAGAAGGAAGAAAGAGAAACACAGGGATTTGAAAGACGTTGGCCCGTGACAAAATTACTGACTCTGGTGCATGGGACAATTCCCGATGTGTCCCCATCTGCTATGTTCCTAGTGGTGCCCAGGTGAAGCTTGTCTGCTCAGACAGTGTTCTTTCACGCCATAGCAATGTGCATAGCAACCAAGGCTGGGTGGGACAAAGCTTGAGCTGTCAAGAACTGCATGCAGTGCAGTTCATGAGCATTCAACAGCAGTTCGGGGTAGACCAGAAAGCCCAGCTGGGGATCTGCTCATTGAAGCTGGAGTGGGCAAAAGTCCAGGAGGTGGTCAGGACACAGAATAATAAGTGCCAGTGAGGTAAATTCTCACCACTCTTTTTGACAGGGTGCTGAACAGGGCTTCAAGTCCTGAAAAACCATTTGTTGAAGTATCGGTGTGGTGATATGTGGCAACACATATGCTAAAAACAGTTTGCTAAAAAGAAATGTTAAAAAGAAAAATGTGGAGGAACTGAGGAAATCATCTAAGATGTGACTCATATGGATTTCTTGAATCTTCTTTCACTCTACACATACTAATTGAGCAGCTATTATGAGCCTGGAACTGAGATTTATAGTACCTTCCCTCCCCAAGACTACTTTTAGGGAAGGAAGAAGCAGACAACAGACAAGAAAGTCACACATTGCTAGGGCACTGTAGGCAATACATAATCATAAGATAATAAAACAGAATGCTGGGTGGGGGCAGAGCTAGTTTAGCTGGTAGCCTCTGAGCTCTGATGTTTAAGCTGAGATTTGAAGGTATGAAATTGGTGAGGGAGGCAGTGGTCAGAGTATGCCTAGTCAAAGGATTTCAGAATTATTCTAAGTGTAGCAAAGTCTCTGGAAGGTTTTAAGTACAGGACTAGATTTTTCCTGCAATGGTATCTCTGTATTTATTAAAGCTGTATCCATGCTGTGTGCCTTTTAACTCTTAACTTAGAGGAGCAGAGAAGTGTCCCTAGCTTCAAGACACCACCTCTGTCTCAGAACTTGCATGTGGTTCTCCCCATGGCAACCTGAATGCAGAAGGAAGTGGAGTGTGTAGATTTTGCTCTAAGGGGAGGAGTGAATGATGCCACCTCTCCAGGCACCTGAGCTACCACAGACTCTTCCCCAGAAGTCACCTCCCTCCCACATCTAATCTGTTTCAATCAGCGCTACCTCCTAAGCTTCTTTTGAACCCTACCCTCTATATGTCTCTTGACTTTGTCTTCATTTAGAGATAGAAAATTGGGCCACATAGACTAATTCCTTAACACACAAGCCTTTATTGGGTAAAAAAAAAAAAGAAGAAGAAGAAAGACTAGGAGTGACTTTAAGATTGAGAGATTTTACACATAAACTCAGATTTAAAAAAAAAAAAAAGTGTTCTGTATAGGAACAATGATCCCTGCAGCCTGCATGGCAGCCTTCAACTGCCCTCTCAGGCAGGACATGTGCTTTCCACAGTCCCTACCATTCCCTATTACACCCAATCATTACTCCAAATTGATCAAGTGTATGACTGTTCATTATCTCATTTGCTTTCCTGAGCATGATGATGTGTGTGATAATGAGGATGATGATGTAAGAGTTAACACTTGCATGTTGGGCACTGTTCTAGTTTACGATAGACAGACAGACAGGCAGATTCATTTAATCCTCACAACAATTTTATGCCTATTTTGCAGATGAGAAAATTGGGACACTGAGAGGCTAAATTATTTGCCCAAAGTCCCACACCCAGTAAGTGGAGAACCCAAATTTGAAACCAGGCATTCTGACCCTCTATGCTATCCCCCAAGTCTCTAGAAAAAAGTGAGAAATGAAAAACCAAGAGAGCTGTTCTCATTTTCTTACACCACCCTATGTTACTCATTTTTGTTACCTGACCCCTGTAGGCCACTAAGTTTGGAACGCTGGTCCAGATTTTCCTCACCCTGAAGACAGCAACAACTTCCTAATCAGTCTCCCTGTCCCTTGTTTTATCCTCACTTGCCCACAGAGTCTTTTGTGTTGAGCTAGAGAGAACTTTCTAAATTAAAAATCTGATTTGGTGGTCCCCAGTTTAACATTGTCCAGTGAGTTCCCAGAGCTCTAACATGGTGGAGCTGATCTTGTCCCAGGCTGCCTGTTGTCTTGTCCCAGAAGTGTATTCTTGCCACTTCTTTATACCTTATCATGCACACTACCACCTCACAACAAGTTTTCCCTTTTCTTAAACAGTGCCCATTTTCTTACATCCTCCTCTGTTACCTCTGATCTCCAGTCTGGTGAACTCCTATACAACTTGCAAGACTCAGCCCAAATGTTCCCTCCACAGCGACATTTCCCTGACACTTCTGCTTTCCTCTATTCTCTTAACACAATATATTTACTTGCATTGAGCAAATTTTAATTTACAACAGCATCTCACTGCATCTTTTGGCTGGGTACAGAGATCTGAAAAACATTCGCTTAAAAAATGATAAAAGTTTATTTTTCTTCTAGGCTAAAGACCATTTGTTTCATAGCTTGCAGAATAGATCATTAAGATCATACTTCATTCTGTCTTTCTTATCCATTGTGTTCAAACTAACTTCATGATCCAAAATGGCTGCTGGAATGCCAGTCCTCATGGCCACATTCTAATCTGGAAGTGGAAGGAAGTAGGTGAAGTATGAAAGTGCCTGCCCACTCCCAACTGAGTTTCAGCAGCTTTCTCAGAAGTTCCATACAATACTTCTACTAAAGTCTCACTGCCCATCATTTAGTCACAGGATTACACCTCACTGAAAAGAAATTAGGAGTAGACACTTCCACACACAAGAGGAAAATATCCATGCATGTGTGTATTCACAAACACTGTCTAGCTATCCACCTCTATTGTTAAGGAAGGGGGGAGGTATGTGAAGCCCTTGCAGTCATGGGACAATATTGTCTTATTCACCTTCATCCTAGCACACAGTAGGAATACAGCAGTGACTCTAGGTCACCTCCAGAGATCTGCATCTGCACAAAAAGTCCATCTACTTTTGCCTCCTCTCCCTCTTCCACTGTTTATCCCTTAACCTCCATCCCATTTGTCACCGCCTTGACAAAAGCAGATTAATTACCCAGCCTTTCACTGCCTTCCAAAACCTCCTCAAATTGATTCTGAATTCATGAATCCTATTCTGAGAGACACAACATTTGACCAAGGTCTAATTTCCAGGACTGGCTGCATAATGAAGTGTTTGCAATACAAATCACTGGGGCAGCAGGTTGTGGCCTGTCAGTAGACCCATGTCCTCCCAAATCAATGGCAGAGGGGTCCCCCAGAAAACAGAGCCCATGTATTCCTTCTGTTGATCAGTCTTGGAACTGTCAGAAGAGAAATCTGTTAGATTTAACACAGATAAATAAATGTTAGAGAAGGCATTAAGTAGCAACTCAAAAGGATGGGTCTTATGCCAACTAAGGTTCGCCCTCCACATTCCCCCAAACAACAAAACAACTGCCTCCTCCTTTTTCCCCCAAAGAGAAGAAGAAATGGGTTTAGTTGTTCAAGGGTGGAATTCTTTGGTGGGCTGGGAGGGTGGGAGATGGAGGAAGGAGGTCAGAAGTATTTTCTCTGAAAACATGAGTTGGCATTTGATACCAATGTCTCTGAGCAAGTGGGATGAGCAGAGGCATCTCCATAGCCCTGGACACGGAGAATTGAACTGATTCCAGTGGGCATCCATCACAGGACAGTTTCCCTTGAGAAAAATCTATTGTGTGACATCTGACTCCTTTCCAAACAACTCTGTCCTCCCAGGTAGCCCTGAGAAGTGGGTGTGGGCCTCACAGTCCCAAAGCTTTGTTCTATGGCACATGTATCCAAGCTCAGCTATGTGATGGATGGAGACTGACACTGGCGGGCACTGTCTGGCCAGGGGTGGGACTGACAAGCAGGGGAAGGGCGGTGGTGGACTAAGCAAAGTGTGGAGCTTCATGCACGGTTCTCTAGGAGGGCTGCCCAACGTGCCAGGCCACTGGGGTCCTTTGCTGGTCTCCACCGACCCCAGACTTGGATTTCACATGGGTAGGAGAAGGGGTGTGGGATCACTCAGATTTGCTCCTTGGTTCCCAGGAAATGCAAACCACAGCTCCCTCACAAGGACACTTCTAGACACGCCCCAGGGTTCTGGGGATGGGGCATTAGGGAGCTATGACTAGACTGAGACCAGGTGGAATTATGCCCACGAATTACGAGGGGGAAACTACTTGAGAAGTGGAGAGGGACAGAGTTGCCTACTGATGTTTGCCACAGCCTAACTGGCTCCAAGGTAACAGAGGGGCGCACCCTTCCCCCAGCACCCAGGGGGGACCCCGGTGCACACCAGTGGCCTTGGGACTCACTGGGCTGCCCCTGGCAGCTACATTTTCTTAGACCTGAGTTTGCGCTAACTGCAGGCACCAACTCAAGAGCGAAAAGCACTTCCAGGCACTGTCTTTCATGACAGCCCACATCTAACTCAGAGAACCCGAAGCCTCCCCTCTAGCTCACTCCATAGTCACTCACTTATTTGTTCAGTAAACAGTGACTCAGACACCTACATGACAACCACAGCGCCAGCAACTTACAAATCTGTGTCCGTACAAAACACTTCGGACCCCCTCCCCTGCCTGCCTGTGTCTTTCCTTCCTTCTTCCTCTCTTTTGCCCTCCCTCTTTCTTCCTTCAGTTCCTCCCTCCCTCCCTCCCTCCTACAGTGAACACCTTTACTGCTGAGATAAGTCAGGAGGGCGGAGGGTTCATGTGCCTCTCCAGGCCCTGATTCTCCTCCCAGGTCTCCAGCCCTCGCCCGTGGGCCCAGAGCTCTGTGCCGTGCCAGCTCCTTCTCCAAGCCCCACCCGGGGTTAACTCGCCAGCCAGCACTGCCCTGCGCACAACTGCCTCTTCCGGCATTTTTTCTCCTTTCCTCGTATTTCTTCTGAATTTCCTTCGGTCCCTTTGGATTTAAAATCTCTGCCCCTTAAGGAGCCAGTGCAGCCCCTACTTGCAACCTAGCGGCAGTGCACAGTGACGCTGGGGTGCCCTGGAGAACATGGTGTCCAGGAGCACGACACACCCTTCCCCAGGCGGGGCACAGTGTAGACCCCCTCCGTAATCCTGTGTGCGAGGATAACGTGCGGGGAGCCCCCAGTGCCCCCGCCTGGCCTGTACTTTCCTGTTGCCCCTGGCCCTGCTCTGGTGCAGAGCCACTCCCCTCTCAGCTATGGCAGTGGGGCTCGGACTCCCACCTCCGATGCGCACCTTCACTGCTCAGCTTGCACTCTCTGCCCTGGGGCTGGCAGCATCTGTGCCAGGGGAGCAGGACGTGCCCACAGCTCCGGGCTGACTGGCAGGGACACCTCCATTTTCTTGGAAGTACAGGGCCTTTTCCTATATACATTTTGTTCTCCAGCTTTTTTTATTTTACCAGCAAATTTCTCTATTTTTTTTAAATTTTTGTATATTTTTTACATCATTCTTCATTTTTTGTGCAGTATCTTATATTTATTGCAGCACTATGTTCAATAAGTAAGCTATGGAAACAATCCAAATGCCCCAAAATAGATGCCTGGGTCAAGAAGATGTGGTATCTATACACAGTGGAATATTACTTGGCGATCAAAAAGATAAACTCATGCCACTAGCAGCAACATGAATGGAGCTGGAAGGGACCAGGCTCAGTGAAATAAGCCAAAAGGAAAAAGAAAAAGACCAGTGGTTTCGCTTTTTGGAGGATTGTAAGGGATCTGGGGTGGGGGGGAAGTATATATAATAAAATCAAAATCAAAAGGCAGCTATAAACCAGAGACATTCTGTAGTGGGAAAGAAGAGAATAAGATCAAAACTGGAGTAGGAAGAGCATAAGGGACCATGGTGATGGTGCACAGGTAAACTGGTGGTGGGAATTCCACAGGGACTGTAACTGAGATGAAAAAGCATACACTGCACAAATATGAAGAATGATCGCTCTCCAACTTTTGAGAGTGTCTGTGCAGGAGACACTGCAGTCACAAAGCACCCCCCGGGCGGTTCCCTTGCTAAGGGAGGTATTGTCTCCCAGTTCTAGAGCTGCCTCCCTCCAACAGCAGACTGTGGGGAGCGGGAGGGACCAGCCTTCCTCTCAGACCTGCAAGGAGGAGCCTTCATGGCCTCCCTAGCGTCCAGTAGCTGTCCACAGCCCTTGGCATTTGGGCCGGGAGACATCTCTCCAGCCCAATCTGCCTGTCACCACAGGTCACCTCCTCCCTGTACATCTCCTCTTCTTTAAAGGACACCGGTCAGAGTGGATGAAGGGCCCACCCTCCTCTACCGTGACCTCACCTGACAACCTATATGACCCTGTTTCCAAATTAAGGTGCAACATGTCCACGTGCTGAGGAGTTAGAGGGCACAGTTTGGGGAGGGCACAGTTCACCTCTTAACAGTCAAGTACAAAGAATCCTTCTACTCTCCGTGAGGGACATTAAAATTAAGCATGAAAATACACACCCGCAAGCGCATGAGCAGCAGGGGGTGGGGAGCCGGGAGGACAAGCCCAGCTAAGAGGCCCAGTCAGCATGCGGTAGGAAGAGCACCCCGCCCCCCAGGCCCACAGACTGGCGTCTACACAGTTGTAAGCTGATTCAGCCTGTGAGTCACCAAGGGACTCCTGGCCTGTAGGGTGAAGCGTTTCTGAACAAGATGGTCTCTTCCCGGAATTAGAAACCATTCTCTTCAAACTGGGGGAGGAACATTAAAAGAAACAGCTGTCAGACCCTGGAAGCCTTCCTAGGCCACGTGGGAGAATTAAGATGTTGCCCAAAAGGAAAATGGCGAGTCATCCGCTTAAAGCAGGAAGTGACTCAGTCCGGTTGGCAACCTGCCCCTGGAGACCGCCTGGAGACCGCAGTCTAATCCCCAACACCCAGTGGGAGAGGTGACAGCAGCCTGCGGGCCGGCCCTGCCCTGCACAGTCCTGAGCTCCCTGCAGTGACTTGTCCTGTTCCCGGCAGATCTGCAGAAGCTTCTGGAGCTGGTTCGGGAAGATGCCCGGAAGACAGTGACCGTGGAAAGCGAGATGCAAAAAAAAGCTCCCAGGTATGGTCTGATGGCTGCTGAAATCACAGGGGTCACCAGAATAAGGCGCAGACATCAAGTTCAAGGCAGCAGCTCCCTGCCCCGGAGCAGCTCCTGGGGCAGGCACTGCCCAGCCCAGCGCGCTGCTCACGCACACACCTTCAGGGCCCTCGAGCTGCCTCTGAGGCACATGCCATCATCCTTATTTTACAAGTAAGGCTCAGAGGGGGTCACGCCCATGCAGCCGATGAACAGGAAGATCACACTCCAACCCAGACCTTGCTAATGTCAAAATCCGCCCTCTTCACCGCTCTGTACAATCGCTCAGTGAGACGATCCCCCCATGACCCTCACGCCCTGTGGGTGGCACCCGTCACAGAGGGCATTTCTGAAGGCTCAGGCCTGTGACAGTCACTGGCAGCAAAGCCACCTAGTTCAGGTTGGAGACAGGGTCCAAGAAAGAAACTTAAAGCTGAGTTTCTGAACAAAGGACGTAAAGAGCCAGCCAGCCAAGTGGAGGACAAGCAGAGGGTGAGGGGGGCGTTGCAGGTGTACAGGTGAGAATCTGGTCAAGGGAACTACCTGCAGCCAGCACAGGGTGAGAGGTCTGTCTGCCCGGGACCCCGTAGGTCACAGTTTCTCTGTTAAGCATAACACAGACCCTCTAAAGCTCAAACTGGGACGAGGGGTCCCCCTCCTGGTGGGAGGCCTTGTCCACGCGGCTTCCAACCTCTGAAAGCCTCGGAGAGCATGTAGGCTAGAACTGGAGTTCCCTTCCCCAGAGCAGATCCTTCTTGAGTAAGCAAATGACTGTGGGAGAATAAATGAGGCACTAGGAGAGGTTCATCATCGCCTTCATCCTACTGGGATGCCAGCTCTGACTTATTGGTGATTGTTATTACCATAATTACAGTTCACCAAGCACTTTCACATGCATCACACAGGCCTCTGCTTGTCGGTGATGAATTAGCTGCTGCAGCCTCGATTCACATGGGGGCTCCGGAGGGTGGGCCTGGAGGCACTTGGAGACGAGCTGGCCCTTAAGGCCCGGGCGGCTGTGCCTGATTTGTTGGCAATTGAGACACAGCATCACCATGAAGCATCAGCTCCAGGAAGCTCCCTCCTTTCTAAGAACCCAGAGCATAATACCGGCTGAGTTAGAAGCACGTGCGTTCAAAAGCTGGTGCCTTTGAAAAACTCTAAGCTTCAGCTTTCTCATCTATAAAATGAAGTTGTACAGGGGCCAAGCAGTGGCCTTGGAACAAATGGGATCCATCTCCATTGCCATCATTTGACTGCTGTGTGATGCTAAGCGAAGTGCTTCACCTCTCTGAGCCTCATTCCAAGTCTATAAAATGAAGCTCATAACTGACCTCACAGATTTATCGTGAGAGTCAAACTATATTGTCCTTGTAAAATAGTATTGTTATGGGGATACTCTCTACCTCAACGAGTAATTTTAAGCTTCTAGTGAGATAATGCAGTCAACATTGTGTGCCAGGCACAGCATAAGCACCTAGTGAGTGGCAGCAGCAGCAGTAGCAGTGGTGGTAGTGATAAAGGTGATGGTGGTGGTGATGGTGATGATAGTGATGATAGTGATGATGGTGATGGTGATGATAGTGATGATGGTGATGATAGTGGTGGTAGTGATGGTGGTAGTGATGGTGGTGGTGATGGTGGTGGTGGTGGTGGTGGTGGTGGTGGTGGTGGTGGTGGTGGTGGTGATTGTGGTGGTGGTGGTGGTGGTGGTGGTGGTGGTGGTGGTGGTGATGGTGGTGGTGGTGATGGTGGTGATGGTGGTGACAGTGATGATGAGGATGGTGGTGGTGACAGTGTGTATGGTAGTGACAGTGGTTATGGTGGGGATGACGGTGGTGATGGCGACAGCAGTGGTGGCAGTGATTTTTCCTTCACACATAGTACCCCATGGAATCACTGCAGCACCTGGTTGAGACAGTTATTAGTCCATGACTCATCACCATCACCCCATCTCCTAGATGGAGAAGAACAACAATGAGCAGCCGGCATGAGGTTGAGACAAAACTACCCAAGAATCTGGCTCTCACAAAGCTCATCACATGGCCCCTGCATTCTCTGTAATGATAAAATCACCATGGTGAAGAGCGAGAACCTGTTGAAATTTCCCACCCCCACAGACTCCCCCAGGAGCTCTATCTCCCGCAGCCAAAGTGGAGCCCGTGGGGCGCTGAGAGAGACAATCAGGAAAAGCTGCAGCGTGTCGCTTGCCCTCCTCGCTCTAGACTCTGAACTCCTTTCCAGTTTAGTCACCAAATCTGCTCTCATCAAAGCCGACAGAGAACGCAGCAGTTTTTAGAACCCTACTGTGTCCCTGCAGCCTACTGTCACAAAAACGCCATAGGCCAGCTGGCTCACTAATAAATTGATTAATAATTAATAGACATTTATATCTCATGGACCAGAAAATGGTCTGGCGAGGGCCCCATCTTCTCCCCCAGCGTCTTCCTACCACCTCCTCAGCACTATGGCAGGAAGAACAGCCGGCTCTCCGGGCCTCTTTTACAAGGATGGCGACCCCAGTCACCACCGTGTTGACCACACGCCCTCATCACCCCCCAAAGGTCCCACCTCCGAATTCCACCATCTGGGAGTTAGTTCAGATTCTGCATGTGAACCTCGAGGGAGGCGGGGGAGCACACCTATTCATAACAAACATCTTCTGGGAAGATGGCCTTTTCGTAAAATCCTCTAGCAGCCTTTTCCAGATGTTTGGAAACTCCACTACTAATGTTTTTTTCTCTTCCCAGAATCAGCTGGGATGCTTGTGAAAAATACAAATTTCTAGTCTTCATCCCAGGCCCACTGAATCAGCATCCCCAGAGGAAACGCTGCCTTTTAAGAGGCACTACAAGTGGGCACTGTTTCACAGAAGCCTGGAGATTTCTGAGGGGGCTTTGCAAAGGGTGCTATAACTGCACACTCGCTTCAGAAGAGAGAGAGAGGAAGGGGGCATTTCTAAATGCTTTCTAAGGGCTCTGGGGTCCCGCTCGGCTTAATGTGTCCAAGTCTCAGGACTGTGGCCTAGGAATCTGTATTCTGAGCCATCTCTCGGGTTGCTTCTTATGCCCATCAGAGACAGAGGCTTCTGCTCCAGAAGGAGAAACCCACCCCCCACAGGCAGCCCCTGCCTCGGGAGCACCTCCGGTGCAGCACCTTGCTAACGCTCACTTCTTGCTCCACAGCTTCTTATCAATGCTCAAACAAAACAAGAGCGACTCTACCCACAAAGACATGCAGACCACCCGCAAGTCAAGGTAGGAGGGCGTGGCCTTCACGTGGGGAGCCCCCCAAGGTGACAGGCCACAGCAGAGGTGCTCTTCACCAGACAGGGGGGAAGAGGAGTGAATGGGGAAGCTTTCTCCTTTTTAACAGAATTTATTCTTATTTATTTATACATACAGAAGCTGGGGTGTAGGCCAGAGTTGAGGGTGAGAGGATTCACCGGAGACAAACTGAGGAACAGAACAGGCAGATCTACTGAAATATACTGCTGAGGGGAGCAGCGGGGAGACAGGAGAGGTCTGCTGCACCCTGTGGGTCAGCTCCCTGGCGGGGGATCGAACTAGGTGATAGCACAAATGTACCAGGGAGGCCTGTTCTCCTTTTTTTCTGGACAGCCCCTTAGCTTCTGGGGCTAGGTATGAATAGCCAAGTATTTCTCCCCAACAGCTTTACCATTAAAGTTTAAACCTTCCAGTAATGAAGAAATAAAGCAGGGAAGAGCCACCACGTCTCCCTTGACTTGAGTGACTTGTAGTGGGGGAGGGGAGGTGACTCATGTTCACCTAGAGAACAGTCATCAAACCCTTTGCTGTGCCAGTAAGTGTGCTAGGTTTTAGGGGATTCAGCAAACAAGACAAATGCAGTCTGACCTCATGAATCTCACTATCTGGACTGAGGTCATAACTTTATTTGGATCACGGACCCTTTAAGAGTCTGAGGTAACTAATGGACTCCTGGGGAGGAGGGAATGCATTTAAATGCATACAATAAATTACAAAGGTTTACAGAGATAGTAATACAATGTATAGTAACAGACTGTGGTATTATGACTAAATTCTACAATAAGACTTAGCAGCAGGTTTAATAAATACTGTGATTTTGGATTAGCATCGAGTGTAACTAATTTTCCAAAACATCTCCCACCACTGTAATATGAGGTACAGATCTGTGATTTCTGGTTCTGCTTAAGAAAAGATGTAACCTTTTTTCCACCTGCATTCATGGACTCCTTGAATCCTGCCCATGCTTAAAAATTGCTGTCAAATGGGAAAGTTGTATATTTATCAAATAACACTGGAGTTTGCCATACTGTCATGACAATGGAAAGCATAATGAATTATGGAGGTTTGGGTGAATACTGAGCACCAGGATCCTAACCAAAACTGAGCTTGACATCTAAGCTGAGACTTGAAGAAAAAAAAGAATCAACCAGCGTATACCTGGGAAAGGTGGGAACAGTGTCCCAACAGAGCACTGGCATATGCAAAGGCCCTGAGACATGAGGAAGCTTAGAGGCATTGACCAAAGACCAGGGTGGCTGAGTCTCAAAGACTGATACTGCCAAAGGGTCCTTTGTTGGTGGTTTCTGTTTGTCTGTTTATCATAACCAACAACATATTTCCTTCACCTCCCACCTTTTCCCTAATCACATTGTCCACTTTAAAAAATAAGAGAACCATCTATATGATGGTCAGAGCCAACATGATCCCCCCCCAAACAATTCATCTGCAGGACAGCTAGTTGAAATCCAAACAAGGCCTTCTGGCTATCATTCCTGGGGCCTGTATCCTGAGTCAGTGGGATAAAGGCTTGTTTCATCAGCTACCAGGCCTCACGCCTCTAAGTTCAATCCCATGAACTTCTGGGAAAAGTGGCTGAGGCCAGAACCTCTCCCATGGTGAAGGGTTAAAACATGATCAACCTCCCTAAGAAGTCCAGATGCCACAAGGCTGGAAGGGATGGGTTAGCCACATGTCATAGGGAACAAGTCAGTTTCTAAAGAACTTGGGGGAAAAACAAAGGATGTGAGAGGTGGCGTTAGATGCCAGAGCTGAAGGCCTCAGTCATTAAATGAGGACCTGGGAGGAGATACGGTGGGGGATGGTGATGGGCAAGGAGCTTCACCTTCCTCTAGGAACCCTACCAGGCAAAGTCAGTCGCTGAAGGAATTCAATCAACCCACAGCTAGGAAAGCACAGTCAGACATGAGGAAATGAGGATCCAGAGTAGAAAGGCCTGCACACAGACTTGGGGTGGGGGTGTCAGGGTTGGGCTCTGAACCCAGTACTTTCTGCTTCCAAAGTTGAGAGAAATGAGTGTCCAGCCCACAGTTCCAGCTTAGGAAAGAGAAAGTCTGGGGTCAGGAACACCAAAGACAGCATGGCTAAGAGGACGTGATTACCTTCACCAGACGGCACGTGGGCTGGGGTTAAATGCTGACAGGTTGAGAGAAGATGAAAGGGTCTGACATGAACAAATCCTTCAGATAGAGAGATCAATTTCATACAAACAAAACTGGGATCCAGAAAATGTCATCCTGACAACATGCAGAGGGAGAAAATCCAAGTTGGACTAGAAAAGTCATACAGAAGATGCAACATTAATTAGGTGCCACATTAATTAGGTGCCTCTGTGCCCACCTACATTGAACTGTATGACCAATCACCCCCAATGACCTCAACCACGCAAGTGATTAATGAATGAGCCTTCACCTCTCGCCCTGTCAGCAAGCAGGGATCAGCTTCTCTAGACAGGGCTCACTGTAGAGCATGAGACAAGGGAAGATTTCAGTAGCTGGAGAAGAAACAGAGGACCCTCCCAGCAGGATAAGGGGGGAATGCACATTTAGTTCTATAACAGCCTTGCTTCAAACCACCTCCCTTACCTAAATCCTGAAAGTCAGCAGGTGTCCTAGGGTCCTTGAAAAGTGGCCTGCTGCCAACTCAAAACCACCCATTTGTGTTTCAGTGAAAGGTCCAGCAGTACAAGTGGAGACAGCCACTCCCAGCTAATCCAGAAGAAGTCTAAAAGGTAGGCCAGGTGGGCAATGGAAAGAGACCAGGCAAGAGAGGTCATGGTAACCACATCCTCTGTCTCCCAAGGGTATGAAAATGATGGGATGCAGACCAGCTCCCTAAAGTCACAGACTCTACTGAAAGAGGGGCCCCCATGCCAGAGGCTCATGGCCAAGATGCCAAGTAACAGACAGTAACAGCACATCCTCCTCTGGGCCTGGCACTTGGCAAAGCATTCTGTAGGCATTATCTTGCTTATGCCCCAAAACCAACCCTGAAAGGTAGGGAGGGTTCCCCATTCTACAGAGGCACAGACCGTACCTCAACCAGACGAGTGGCCCCTATATCATAGGGTGGCATTGGGGCTAAAACCTCACTTTTCTAGCTCCAAACTCCATTTTCAGTCTACTGCCCATAACATTTGCTGGGCATAAGTGACCAGCTGTCTCACCATATGCTCATTTACTAAGGTCTGAACCACCACTTTGATGTTGCTGGGAGATCTGTCTGTTATACCCAGGGGGGTGATGAGGGAGGCTCCCAGTGAGAGTGGAGAACCCAGGTGGGTACAGAGAACCCTCACTGCACAGTGCCTTGGGGCCCAGGGAAGTCAGCCTGTTGGGACTGTCCCCAAGCTCTTCTCATCTACATCTACAGTCGCAGCAACCGTGACATCATCTACTCCAAGAATGCAGTGTGTAGCACCATGAGGGCCAAGTTTTACAGCGTGGCCCAGGAGGCTGGCTTCTGTCTGCAAGACAAGATGGAAATCCTTATGAAGTAAGGGCGCACAGATATCCATTCACTCAACAGACATTCATCTGGCACCTACTAGGTGCCCACCAGCTGCTAGCTTCTGGAGCTATCGTACAGACCAAGAAGGACAGGTTCCCTTATAGTCTCCTGTAAAATGAGTAGAAACAAAATCATTGAACCCAAATGAATAAATACAAATGACAGTAACTGTAATACAGAGAAATAACAGGGTGCTAGGGGAGAAAGACCATGGAAAGCTATTTTAGTTGGGTAATCTGGGAAGACTTCTCTAAGGAGGTGACTCAAGGAAGCAGCCCGGTGGGTCAAGAGGAGCTGGTGGCATGGTAAGAAATCAGAAGGATACTCCTGGCAGCAGGAAAAGGATACACAAAGTCCCAAGGTGGAAAAGACATAGGACATGGGAAGAAAAAAAGTGAGAGCTATGTCATGAACAGTCACAAATGTGACAATTAAGTTTTGGAACTTAATTATGTGCCACCTTAATTAGGTGCCTCTCTGCCCATTACTCTCGGCTACAAGACCAATCACCCCCAATGACCTTGTCCATGCAAGAGTGACTACACGATGAGCCTTCGCCCCCTCACCCTGTCAGCAAGCGGGGACCAGCTTCTCTGGACCAAATGATCAATAATGAGTTACCCCCACTTTCTGGGAGCTCCCAGTTCAGTAAGGGAAGGAGACTGCCACACATGGTGATGGCGGCCCATGGGAGTAGGGAGGAAGCTAGCAGACAGGAAGAGGAAGTCTTGCCTAGTTAGAGATAGCAACCAGAATGGTCTTCCTGGAAGAAATAACATTCAGTTAAATGCAATAGGTATTTGCAGGCCAATTAATATGTACAAGTCATGGGTACATTAGAACTTTGTCTTTATCACTTAGTCTTCAAAATAATCCTAGGGAAAGGTCCTATTATTAGACCCATTTATAGATGAGAAAAGTGGATTCAGATATGTCCGTTGTCAAAGGTTACCCAGTGGTTAAGTAGTAAAGGTAGGATTCAAATACAGTGACACAGGTAAAGGAGGAGGAAGGGAATTTCAGGGAAAACTAAAGCAAAGTTCCAGAAGCCACTAGGGGTACAATGGGCCAGGAACTTCCAGCAGTTGGGGGTAGCTAGATCTTACAGTGACTGCAAGGTCATTAGAGAGAGATCAGGTCATAAAAGGCCTTAGTAAGCCAGCTGTGGAGGTTGAACTTTATCTCAAGAGACTGTGAGACTGGGAGAAAGGAAAGAAAAAGATGGTGAAGAAACCAGAAAATGTAAGGGCTGAATGATCCCATGGTCAAGGACTTTATTCTGTATAAAATGGGAAGTCACTGAAATTTCATATATAGGTGAACATCAGGGCTTATATTTATAATATAAAGTCTCCTTGGAGGTAGGATGAAGAGGGAGGTGAAACCAATGTAAGTTAAATACCTACTGTGTGTCTACCACTAACTTCAGCATTTTGTGCATATTATATAATGTAATCCTAGCTTCCAAGAGCTAGGGACCACTATTGCCCTCCATTTTTAACCAAACAGAAAGCAGTGTAAATACCATGAAAAGTAGGGAGAGAGTCAGGGCTTTTAAAAAGTGACTGGATTTAGCAAGAAAACAGTATTTCAGGACCTTGGAGAGAGACATATCCACACGTGTCCAGCACCAGATAGTAAATTAAGAGAGCAACTGAGAGGAGTTCAGAAGAGCCTATGGGTGTTTAAGTCATATCTGAAAGGGCAGCTAGGACATTAAAGAAGTGTCTGACTCGTCTGCCTCTTTTTCATACAACCTGTGCTGTAGGCGCCAAGAAGAGAGAGGTCTCCAGAAGTTCCATTCTTTTTTCCTTGTCTCAAATTTTCAAAAGGATATGGCAAAGATGAGGCATCAAGTCCCCATGGTAAAAGGAGATGCGCAAGAAATTGCAGACCACTGGTAAAGATTCTGAGAGCCAGATAAGGTGACCCCTGGAAAGGGTATATGTTATATAAATCACAAATTACTTTTAAAAAAAGTATGACAAGCCAACCAACATGTATGGTGGGCTATCAATTTCTTCTTCAACTATGTCCATGTGTATGTTGGTTTTTGGTTTTGTTTTTGTTTTTTTGTAAAGGGATACCATGCCTTGCCTTAAACCCTGATGAAAACTCAACCAACCCCCAGGTTAGAACTTACCTTGTTCCCACCAGCCAAAGGATGGATTCTCAGATTAGCCTCACATTCTGGCATAATATTCACATCTGTCATCATTTCCACAAAGGTTCTCAAAACACACAGTTATTACACATGCTTACCCACTATCAAATCAAGGAAAACCACACACATTATCACACCATCTTCACCACCATCATCATCTATACCATCATCCCCATCAATAATCACAGCCACACCCTAGAAGGTATCCCACAGACATCTGCATGTTTTTTGACCTGCTTAACTCTCAATAGAGGAGCCCAGAATTCCTTTTTTCTAGCTTTTCACAGTGTTATGATAGAAAAATCATAAATGCATCTCTTTAAAGCACACCCTCAATCTGTTTTTTTAATGAGATGCAAATCATGCTCCAACCTTTACTACCTCTGAAAGAATAGACTTTTCCTCGTTTATGGGCCCATTATATTTAGCAGAGAGAAAAACCCTCACATAAAGGCTCATGGCACCCTAAAGACATCACGTGGTATGAAGAGAGAGGCAATGGAGGGCTGAGGTCCTGAGACCCAGCTCCAGGCTGCAGCTTCCTCACTGGCCTTCTTCTCTTGGAATTAAAGGTACTTTGATCTTCTGTCTAAACTCCCAGAGGACCTGAAGAATTTCCGCCCTGCCAAAAAGATCCTGGTAAAACTGCAGAAGTTCGGGGAAAACCTGGATCTGAGAATCCGGCCCCATGTCTTCCTGAAGGTGCTACAAGACCTGAGAATCTGGGAACTGTGCTCTCCGGAAATTGCAGTGGCTATTGAGGTGAGCCACTGTTTCCTGTGTTCTTGCAATGCCGCAGGTAACCTCAGTCAGTTGCCCCTCGACACCCAGGCCTGTGTAAGTCCTGTCCACCACCCCACTCACTTGTCATTATGCTGTCCACCATCAACTCGTTAGTTATTGGGGACATGCCAGAGGAAATCTCTGAGTGGGTAAGATGAGTGGAATATGGAGAATCCCCCATTTTCTAGGGTGAGTTCATGGCCCTGGCTGGTAAAATTCATCATTCACCCCTCCCACTCAACTTCTGAGAACCTGGATGTGAGGCCTCTTAATCTAGACTCGAAGGAAACTCTATTTTGTATCTTAACCCTTTATTTCCTAGAAGTAGGCCCACTGTGGTGAATTCTCAAAGCAGTCTAAGAACCAAAAACAAAAGGTGTAAGGACAAACAACAGTTTGAAAAGCATTAAGGAGTAGAAAAGGGAAAACACAGACAGCAGAGTTGTCTTGCTTTCCCCAGATTTCTTTGGGTCAAACACATAGAAGGCACTTAAAGGAGCCTGCTGAGCCCAGAAGCTGGAAAGGGGTCCCCAGCGTGCCACGTCAGGTCTTATGAAAGCCTGATGACTAGCAGAATCCTGGGGCCACTGGCTCAATAACAAACCTTCAATATCTTGGGGAAGGGGTCCAAGGAGGCACAGAGTAGAGCTTTCAAGCCAAAGGCTGCCACTGTGTCTGCCCCGCAGTTTGTCCGCGAACACATCATCCACATGTCTCGGGAGGATTATGTCAGCTGGCTGCAAAGCAGGATCAGCATCCCCCTCCAGCCTCACAGCGTCCAGATATAGCTGGGCCCACGGCAACCATCTCCTGGGGGAGGAGGACAAGGTCATGCTGTGTTCCTGCCTCCTGCCTACTCTGAGGAATACCCAGCATGACATGACAGCATCATCTGGAGAACATCTTCTGCCAATATTCCAGAGGTGGAAACTCCCCTCAAACCTCACACCCCAACCCCAGTCTCTGTTCCTTATTGGTCCAACCTTTATCCTTTATCCTTTCCCAGATTTTTACCCTATTTTTCTTCCTCAAATTCTGGATAATAAAACTGAACTAAATATTTGATATCTTGCTGGGAAAGAGTTGTTGGTGTAGAACTTGGGTGTGGTATACAGATTAGGACAACAACCTGCACTGATTTTTATTATAGACCCAGTGCTGGGAGATATGACTGCCTTATAATTTAACCTCACAATAACTTGGGTAGGTAAGAGCTAATATTATCCCCATCTCCCACCAGTGGAGCTATATTGTTCTTCTCAACTTTATATATACTGGCTTGTGTGCATGGATGGGTGAGTGGGTGAGCAGAATGATAGGTGGATAGATGGACAGATGGAGGGATGGATGGATGGGCAGGTAGGTGGGTGGGTGGATGGATGGATGGATGGATGGGTGGGTGGGTGAGTGCATGGATGGATCATTCCTCAAAAAAGCAAATGGTATATGAGAAAATTTCAGCCTTTTGCCAATCCTCAAATCTGTTTTAACAGTCTTGGTTATATATATAACTTAATTTCTTGTCATCTCAAATGTATGGGAGATATGACTGGGTGTATTGCCATTTAACCTCTCTTCTCATCTAAGTTATGGGACCTGCAGTATTTTATTTTATTTTTTTATATAACAGTTTATTTTTACATCATTTTGTACATTTTTATTTTCATCTCAATTGTAATCCCCACGGGTTTCCCATCACCGAGTCACCCGTGTGCCATCACCATAGTCCCGTGCACCCCGGTTTTGATCCCATTCCCCACGCAAAATGTCTCTGGTATATGGGGGACCTGCAGTATTTTAACTCTCCCATCCGTGGCTGGATTGAACTAACAACTAAATAAGTAGAACTAGTTCCCTTTTATGACCAGATATCAGAACACTTACAAAAAGTGGGCTGCCTCATCTCTTCATGATTACCTGCACTGAATTGGATCCAGTGCAGTCTAAGCAACCTCTCATTTCATTCACCTAGTCAGTCATTGCTTCATTCATTCAATGAATTCTTATTGAAAACTTAATATGCATACCTCACTTTCGAGGCCCCAAGGATACAGCATCAACCACGGCCGGCGAGTCCCTGCTCGTGAGTAGGTTACAAGAACATGGAAGTAGAGAATGAATAAAATGTGATGGGGAAGCCAGGATTTCACTGCATCCACAATGATACTCTTAGCATTGTGTGACACCTTGATGACTATTGGATTGGGGGATAAGGGTGAAATACAGTCACCAAGAAGTCTGCCAAATTAAGACCCTAAATGTCTCTGCATTAAACAGCAATCTTGGTGGAAGGTGGAGACAGAGAAGAGTGGAAAGGGTCCAAAAAAAAAAAAAGGAAAGAGAGAAAAGAGGAAGCAGAAAAATAAACTGAATAATATGAGAATGAGAAGGTAACTTAGGAGGAAAAATATCCCAGGATTAGCTGGCTGGAAGACCTCTAAAAATCTCCAGGCAAACCAATCCCTCAACTTAAGCACCCCGTGCCCTCATTTATTTCTGCCACAAACCCACATGGCCCTGTTAATGATACTTCGAGAAAACAGGAAAAAGAGGCCATATTCAAAGCCAGGTCTACCTGAGGGCAAAGAAAGGGCTTTAGGGATTCAGAACTGAATGCAGAAAGAGCTTCATAGGAGCACAAAGTCAGAGGCTACCATTATGCAAACACTCTGGATACACAGAAATCAGACCCCGCCTTTGGCTCCGCGAGGCTATGTACGCCCAGGTGACCAACACAGGGCACAGAGAATCAGAATACCATGGTGCCAAGTTAAAGCAAGTTGGAGAGCATCCCCAGGGGACAGGAGGAGGGGACACACCGACTCCTAGTCGCCCCCTCGCAGGGAGGTCTTTGTGGGCAAGTCTTTGTAGAGTCTGTGAGATGAGGAGTCAGAGGAGGGAAGGGACAGTGGTCTCAGTGGGCTCGGGGCGGGGAGGGAAGCCGGTTCCAGGTAGAGAACGGGAGCTGGGCGGGCCTCGAGCAAAAAGAAACTGGCCGCAGCTGCGGGCCTTGAGGCTGGCCACCTCTGAGGAACTGGAATGAGCTGAGTCCGGCTGGATCATACGGTCAGCTGGCAAAGGCCGGACAAGGGACAGGGAGGAGGGTGGCTGGATTTGAAAACTCTTTCTCAGCCATAGTATGAGATTCAGACCAACGTACTGAATCTCACAGGAGAATCCTGAGAAGGGGGAAATTTTCATTCAGAAGAAAGCTACTGCGTGAGTGCAAGGCAGGGGCAGCGGCTAAGACGAGGCGGGGCGGTGACCATGGGGAGAGCTGGAGGGCAGGGTGGGGGTGCACTGGCAGGCAGACTCGGAACTCCGCAGGGGGTTACAGGTGGCAGAGGTCGGGCGTGTCTGGGCTCCAGTCGGGCTTTCCAGCTTGCACTCGAGGTGCTGGGTGGTGCTCCAGGGTGCTGGGTGGTGCTCCAGGGTGCTGGGTGGTGCTCCAGGATGCTGGGTGGTGCTCCAGGAGGAGAGAAGAGAAGCAAGTCTGTAGGGAGGGCAGGGCGGAGGCGCCCTGCTCTGACACGTTATGTGGGAAGCGCCCATGGACGGTCAAGCAGAAGGACCTCACGCTCAAGAGAGGACTGCCCTGCAGAGAGAAATACACCCGCATCCTCTGGGCCAGTTAAAGCTGGAAGTGAGCAGAGGCGCTAAGAGAGGGGAGGAGAGAAAGGGGCAGAAGGCCAAAATTCCAAGCGCATCAAGCAGCCCACTCAGACTAGCTGCGATGGGGGGCTGCTTGGGTCTGGACCGCAGGCACAGCGCTGGCCTGCATTAATTATCTCATCATCTTCCTACCCTGCTCTGCAGGAGGTGGGCACTGAGCTCCCTCCTTCCGCCTGGCATTCACTGATGAGACAAGTAGGTCAGGAAAGTTATCTTTCACTTTGGAATCGTGTCCAGGGACTGGCTCTGATGGCATCCATATTCACGCGGCCTTTGCATTGCATTCCACACTTCGCAAATAAGATAATGCAAGCTTCCTCCTAAATGAGCATTATTATATGCCTGTTTTAATAGGAGGTAAATGTAGCAAAACTTAAGGTCGCCTGCTATCGTCACATAGCTGGTAAGCGACAGAGCCATAGCTGGAACCAGGGCTGTCTCTGCAGGGCAGATGCTGAAATCACAACATTTACGCCACCCTCTTGCTCAGCACCTTCTAAGCCCATTTCTCAGAGCTATAGCTCCATCTAGTGGTGTGTGTCTGTAAAATGCTAACTTCTGGCCCCCCAAAAAACAAACATTTGCAGCAGCAACATTGCTCACTCGGCTTAGGCAAGGGTGTTTATTCAAACAAGAGAAGATCTTCTACTCTCAAGATGGATTGTGGATAGGAGGAGGCACTATACCTCCCAGCTGCCAGACTCAAGGAAGAGCCACAGGGAGAATTATTTTTGCTATGAACAGCCTAGAATTATAACTGAGCACCGACGGTAGGCCAAGCCTGTGCGAGTAATGAGGATCCACTGTCCCGCTGCTCTGACCCAGGTGAGCGGCAGTTATGAGAGTTTTTAGAACTGTGCCCTAAAGCAGATAGTGTCTATTGCAAATTCTTTATCCATCTATCTAGATGGATATCTAAATTAAAATGTAAAAGCCATTCTAACATTGGAGTCAGGTTGGGGGTAGGGGTGATAGTTTTCCAGTCCCTGCTACAGTATATGTTTAAGAGAAGGAATTTTTTTCTAGCCTTCCCATAAGTGTGACATAGGAAAGGCTGGTAAAAAAAAAAAAAAAAAGCGAAAGTTGAAAAGTTGAGTATTTTTTCCATTAAAAAAATGAAAAATGGGGCCCTCCCTGGTGGCGCAGCGGGTTAAAGCACTGCACTGAGAAGCTAAACTCACTTCCACATGAGTTCGATTCCCGCCTGCCCCGGAGGAGACCACATGGCGCGGCAGACCTCTCCTGACCCGCCCGCTGCTCCCCTCAGCAGTGTACTTCATTGATCTGCCTGTTCTGCTCCCCGCTCTGTCTCTGGTGAAGCCTCTCGCCACCCCTGAGCCTCTGGCCTGTACCCCAGTTCTGTATGTACAAATAAATAAATCTTTAAAAAAAAATGAAAAATGTTTTCATCTTTGTGTGGGGGAGTATAAATCCTAGCAATGCAAGGATAAATAGCAAATAGTACTGCTTCTCCCGCTAAACCTCAAGCCCACTCCCATCTGGAGAATCAGTCTCCTTGGGGTGATTGGGAATCTTCTGAAAATAGTCTATGCAAAGCCAGATGATTTATGCAAGCCAAAAATTTTAAATATTAAATACATTTAAATGAAGTCTTCACTGTGTGCTTACTGTATGCCCACTCATTGTTCCAAGCGACTGGCATGTCACACTCACTTTATTCTGACAGCAGCTCTACGAGGTAGGTATCACTCTGACTCCTGCAGAGGAGGAAACTGGGGTACAGAACAGTGGAAAACCTTGCCCACGGCTACATCATTTGGGTAGGTATCCTTTCTTTTAAACAGAAATAGTAAGCCAGATATACAGACTTCTGCACTGATTTATGTTGATGGTGGTTTCGGGTCCCACCTTTCTAAAAGTAGAAAGAGAAGACGAAAGTGGCTGAGAGCCTCAGCTAACTTTATTTTTTTTAAATTTATTTGTTTATTCATAGAACTGGGGTATAAGCCAGAAGGGCTAGGGGGTGAAGGGATTCACCAGAAACAGAGCGGGGGGCAGAACAGGAGATCTACCGAAATACACTGCTGAGAGGAACAGCGGGAGAGACAGGAGAGGTCTTTGCTATATACCACTCATCCCAGTCCCTGAGCCTCACCCTGCAAGGATGAGACTGAGTCCTTCTTCCCTGCTTGAGGTCTGGTATATAGCCAGAAGAAGCCATATACAGATAATGCAAAGTAATTTAATAAAAGTGAAATGTTCTGAGTGATTTATGCCAGGCACTATGCCATTAATTCCTATGCTTCTCCTGGTTGAATCCTTGTAATCACCCTGTAAGTCTAGCATTATTGTGTTTACTCCCACTTTATAGACAAAAAAAAAAAAAATGAGG